GTGACAGTTCTTGAGTTCTGTGAAGGAGTAAATAACATTTCCTTCTTCACTTTCTTCACACCAGTCAAGATTTTATAGACCTCCATCATATCCCCCCTTAGTCGTCTCTTTTCTAAGCTGAAAATTCCCAGTCACTTTAATCTCTCCTCCTGTTTCATACCCCGAATCATTTTAGTTGCCCATCTCTCTACCTTTTCCAATTCCAATATATCTTTTTTGGGGTGGGGTGACAAGATTTGCACACAGTATACAAGGTGTGAACGTACATGGATTTATATGGAGGCAATATGATATTTTCTGTTTTATAATCTATCCCTTTAGTGATTCCCAATATTCTGTTCGCTTTTTTGACTGCCGCTGCACATTGAGTGGATGTTTTCAGAGAACTATCCACAATGACTCTAACATCTCTTTCTTGAGTGGTAACATCTAATTTAGACCCCATCATTTTCTATGTATAGTTGGGATTATGTTTTCCAATGTGCTTTACTTTACATTTATCAACATTGAATTTCATCTGCCATTTTGTTGCCCACTCACCCAGTTTTGTGAGATCTCCTTGTAACTCTTCACAGTCTGCTTTGGACTGAACTATCTTGAATAGTTTTATATCATCTGCAAATTTTGCCACCTCACTGTTTACCCATTTCTCCAGATCATTGATGAATATGTTGAACAGTAATGGTTCCAGTACTGACCCCTCAGGGATACCACTATTTATCTCTCTCCATTCTGAAAACTCATAATTTATTCCTACCCTTTGTTTCCCATCTTTTAACCAGTTACTGATCCATGAGAGGACTTCCCTCTTATCCCATGAAGGCTTACTTTTCAAAAGTCAATTTAAATTAAGTAATTTAAAAAATATATATATTTGTTTTAGAAATCTAGAACTGTTGTGTATTTTGGTGTAATTTGCATTATCCTTATGTTAAATTTGCATTATCCTAACAAAACATTTCATTTATTCATATCTCTTTTATATGTTGCAGATCAAATGAAAAAACAAAAAACAATGCAGCAATTTGTCCACTCAAAGGCCTCAAAAACCAACCAAGGTGAAGAACACACCAAGAACCAAGAATATATCAACATGTCATCTGAAGGTTCAAGTGGTGTATCTACATCTGACCAGCCCGAAGCACAAATACAGCTACCTAGTGAAGAAACTGTCTCCAAAACCTAAAGGCAGTTCCCGATGTTTGTCAGTCGAAGTGTTTCCATTTATTGAAGTTACAAAAGATGGCTACTGGTGCACGTCTTGCAAAAAAGCTTATGAAGAAGGAAAGCTTCCCAATGCTATAATTGGTAAAAGTGGAGGAGCTTGGTTTGCCAGACCAATCAGCAAAGCCAATGCTGACAAATTACTTGAAAAGGCTGCAAAACACCAGGCCTCTGGAGTGCATCAACATGCAGAAAGCCTTATAAGCCAGTCACTGTCAAAGCCAATTTTAGAAGAACTTAATGAGGCTGTTAAGAATGCTGGAGAGACAACACAGTTCATGCGAACAAACACGGCTGTGGCATCCTACTTTCTATTAAGCAAGAGATATCACACACTACAAACTGGAGGCCAATGTTAAGTGTATTGTCACTTGTTCATCCTGAAGTTGAACATTGGTGGACTGGCAAATACTCATATCTTTCTGCAAGAAACTCAGCTGACTGGTTAGAAGCATGTGGTGCAACAGTGAAAGATTAAACAGTTGAAAAAGTGAAGAACTCTCTCACCACATTCAAAAAATGTTCATACATGACTGATGAATGCACCGATGCAAATGGGCATCAAGTATTAAGACATTGTGTATGTGATCTTGATGTCCATGGTAGGCCAATTCCAGTAGATGCATTTCTAGATGTTCAAGTTATGGAAGACACATTGGCTGCATCTCTGACAACCCACATCTTAGAAGAGTTAAATGCTTGTCAATTGGACCCCAAACAGATATCTGCTTGTGCATTTGATGGAGCTGCAAACTTCTCAGGAAGACATGGTGGAGTACAAGAGAAAAATGTAACCCTAATCTCTCCTATACACACTGCAGAGGCCACCTACTCCAACTAGTGCTAGTACGAGCTGCAGAATCTTCAAACAACATTAAAAAAGCTATAAATTTAATGTCTTCATTACATTCTTTTTTCAGCAAGAGTCCCAAAAGACTGAATATCTTGGAAAATATGGAAGATACACTGGGACTGAAGTTCATATTAGTCCAACCTGAGAAAACCCGCGGGCTTTCTCATGAGCGATCCTTGGCTGTTGTCTTGCAATTACTTCAGGCATTGTTATTGGCTTTGGAATGTATCTACCAAGATGGGATGGATCTAACTAGTGAGGCTGGTGGATTACTTTTGTTACTATGTTCAGAGAAGACTATCGCTGTTCTCTCTCTTGTAAGTCTACTGTTGAAACCACTTGGGTCATTAAACAACGTCATCCAGGCATCTGCTACAACAGCAGTAGATCTTTGTCCAGCAATAGAAGCTACCCTTGGATCAATCAGAAATATATTCATTGAAAAAGTACTGGAAGAAGCAAAGACTTCAGTCCAAGTTGACTAATGAAGGCATTTATATTGATTCCTTAAGTGAAGAGGACAAGAAGTTTTTGTTAAGCCAGCTGAAAAAGTACACAGACTTGATTCTTACAAATCTACAACAGCAACTTCTAGATTCTACTAAACCTCTACGTAGCTTTTACAGATCCCTGTCCTATAAAACACCGACAGTTGAGGGGAGTGAGGCACTACCAGCAATGGGGCTGCCACGTGATCAGGACAGAACAGAGAATTTGAACACAGAGTGGAATATCATACGACGAATGAATGAAGATTTGACCTCAACTTCTAGTGGCTCGACCCGATCTTTGTGCTACGTTTCCTGAGATGAAAGAAGTAGGAATTCATCACTTTCTACTCCCAGCATTCTTTTTCCTCATTGAATAGTATTTTGTGTTCTGAAAGAAGTTGCCTTCTGCCTGATCATGTGAATGAACTAATGAGCATATCAATTGAAGGAATGGAAGTACCGGACACACAAGAAGCCACCAAAGATGAACGCGCTGCATTCAAGTTCATTAACAGAGTCGTGCAAAATTTAATAAGAAACCAAGAAGGATATAGACGTAGTGCTCCATGGAAGGCTTGAGTAGCCAACTTTAATTTGTGTGATGATTTTAAAACATGTGTTATATAAAATGGTCATGAAAATTTTTTCAGTTTTTACTATGGTGCCATACAGCCCCCCTTCGCCCTCATGGTCTCACCACTCATCGGCCCTGACCGCACCCCTATAAATTCGAACCCCCCCCCTAATTTCAATTACTGGGGAAAACACTGGAGGGACATGGATTGGGAGGGGCAAAGGGATACGGGACCCCCCACCCACTGGTGAAAGGACAGTAGAGTCTTCTTGTACCCCTGCCTTGGGGCTGGATTGGAGCCAGTGCCCCCCAGAGGAGAGAGACCCCGTGTCCCAATGCCCACCCCCCTGAGCCAGCCATTCCCCAGCCCTGGAACAAGGAGATACCCCACTCCCCTCCCAGAGCTGGGGGTGTGTGATGTTCCCCTGGTGTTATCCAGACCGGTGATCTCCTAGGTCACTCCAGTCCTTGACTCTGGGAGCCAGCCTCACCCTGCTCCGCTGTGAGACCCCGACTCCCGTGATGTTCACGCACAGCCTCTGGCATGTAAGTTGCTCCCAGCTATGAGAGTGAGCACTTTTGGCAGCCACTGCTTGGACTGTGCAACCGACTGACACTAGCCGATATCTCCGGTCCCAGACACACCCCTAGGAACCTCCGTCTTGCAGTGTCCAATTATGCCTGCTAGACGCTGCAAGCTCATATGAGTTCGTCAATTTAACAAAGAAATTGATATGTACCAGGCTTGTTATCCCAAAGGAAGTCTCTGACACGCTTCAAACCAAACGCACTGCTTCAGGTAGAATAAACAAACAGATTTATTAACTACAAAAGCTGGATTTTAAGGGATTATAAGTCAAAGCACAACAAATCGGATTTGGTCAAATGAAATAAAAGCAAAACGCATTCTAAGCTAATCTTAACACTTTCAATGCCCTTACAAACTTAGCTGCTTCTCACCACAGGCTGGCTGGTTGCCCTACAGCCAGGCTCTCCCCTTCGATCAGCGCTTCAGTCGCTTGGTGGTGGTGTCTGTAGATGGAGGTGGAAGAGAGAGAGAGCAGGGCAAACCTCTCTCCCTTTTATCATGTTCTTTCTTCCCTCTTGGCTTTGCCCCCCCCTTTCAGAGTCAGGTGAGCATTACCTCATCGCAGTCCCAAACTGACCAAGGGAAGGGGGGTGACTCCCTCGAGAGTCCAACAGATCTTTGTTGCTGCCTAGGTCAGTGTCCTTTGTTCCTGTGAGGCTGGGCTGGGTTTGTCCCACACATGCCCTGATGAGGTGTGAACTGCCCCTCTGCTCCTGGAGAGTTTTGCCTGGGCTTGTTTTAAGCCATGAAGACACTTTTTCAGCCTCATAATTATATACATGAAATTACAACCTATAACATTACTATAACAACAATGCTCAGTGCATCATGAGGAAACTGAGGCAACGGGGAGACAGCTGATGTCTGAGCACCCAGAGGCAGGCGGATGTGGGTCAGTTGTGTCTCTCCAGGCCGATCTGTGGGTCCGGAGGCTGCAGGGACCAGGATCTCGGGAGGGGGGCCGCATCCCAATGCCGGGCGACGGATCCCCGTATAACCAGCCCACGCTTCCGACCCCATCTCCCCCAGGTGTCACACACATTCACGGCGGGGGCACAGGGGGGGCTGTGAGGTGCCCAGGTTGGGCTGCTTTGTGGTTCTGTGTCTATTACAAATCTGGAGAGTAACAGGATGCAAAATAAAATAAACAGCCACCTCGGCGCATCCCCTCCCCCTCCCGGTGTTGAGCCCCCCACACCAGGTCTGGGAAGGGCAGGGGGACAGCACCTCGATGGGATGGGGATGCAGCGGGCGGGAGGGCAGCGGCTCTCACTGTGGGGCTGCTCGGTTCACGTTGATCGCGGCGTGCAGGACGGGCTCAGGGGCAGAGGACAGGCCCCCCCGCTTGGCCTGCAGCGCCTGGTCGTCCAGCTCGGCGTAGGTGAGTCTGTCGGCGCCGGGGTCGGGCTCCTGGGGCTGGGAGGGGAGAGAGTCACTGTGGTGTGTGTGTATCAGCCAACACCCCAACACACACACACACACACACACATCCCTGCAATCCAGCTGGTGATCCCATAAGCGCCTCCCAGCAACCCGACCCCCCACCCCAAAATACTGAATGTGCAAGATAATGTGAATGGGGCCCATGTGGGTCAGGGTTGGGGGTCAGGTCCCAAGGAGGAACAGGGGACACTTACCAGGGTCTGTGGCTCTTTCCCTTCATCAATGGAGGCATCTGCAGAACAGAGACACCCGCTGAGCTGCACCCCCCAGCTGCCCCAGAGCAGAACCTCACACCCAGCTCTGACCCCTCCGTCCAGCCAGGGGGGTCAGAGCCCGGCACAGACACCCCTTCCCCGCCCCACAGCATGGGCCATGGTCATTAGCCCCATGTTACAGAGAGGAAAATGGAGGCACAGAGATGTCTAGGGGTTACAGTGGGGGTGGGGGGCTGGGAGTCCGAACGCCTGTGTTCTCACCCTGGCTTGGGAGGAGAGTGAGGTCTAGACTAGTGGTTAGAGCAGGGGGCTGGGAGCTGGGAGCTGATGGGGAACTAGAGCGGGAAGGGAGGGTGGCCCCAGGGAGCTCCTAGGAGTCCAACACTCTCAGCTGACACCTGCTATCTCTGGGGCCCTCTCCTTAGTCCCGCCCAGCAGCAGCTGTAAATCAGGCCCCGCCCCATATGGGTGGAGCCCCCACAAGCCCCTCCCCTCCCCAGGGGTCCTGCCCCACTCTGATACCCCCTTGGGTGTGTTACTCACAGATGGGGTCTTCCTGAGCCGGTGCCTCTAATGCCACTATAGGGCTGGTGCTAAAAGAGAAAATCCCCTTGTAAAGGTCATATCCCCCCACCCGCGGGGAGGTTTCTCAATACACTCAGAGAGCCCCTCATCCTGCTTCACCCTGAACCCAGTTCCCTGAGCCCCCCTTGCCCCAACCACCAGACCCCACCTCACCCCACCCCGCTCTAACCACTAGACCCCACTCTACTCCCAGAGGCAGATATAGAACCCAGGACTTCTGGACACCTCCCCACACACCCACACCCACCTCCCTGCTCTAACCACTAGACCCCATTCCCCTCCCAGACTAAGCAGAGAACCCAGGAGCCCTGTGACCCCGGCAGGTCGATCGGGAGGGGGGAGGAGCCGGGTTCCTACCTGCTCGGTCGCGGTGTGGCTCCTTTTCCTGCAGAGGGACACAAACCAGAATCCCCCATGAGCCGATCGGGATCCCCCGGTCCCAGCGCCCGGCCACTCACCCCCCACAGGGCAGCAGGGATAGGGGGTCTGGGGGGTCCCCTCTACTGCTGGTGCTGAGCCTGGATCCCTGCAGGGCTGGGCCAGCCCAGCAGGGGGCAATGCAACACCAGAGCATGCACCAGGGGCTAGGGGCAGATTAACTCGGGGGGGCTTTTCCTGTCCCCAATCCTCCCTCGTTAGTGACTAGTTATAAGGAACCTGAGCCACAGGTCGGCTCCCCTGGCACCCCTGGTACCTGAGAGGCACGGTGCCGGTGGCTCGTTATACAGGGACCCCTCACCCGGTGCTGAGATGCGGTCACTGCTGGGGTGGGACAGCTGTGTGTGTACAGGGATTACGCATGCAGCAGAACCCCCTGTTAAGCCCTCACCCCGCTCCTTGGCTTTCCCGGCACAGTCCCCCATCCAAGCCGTGACCCCATCCTGCCCTGCTTAGCCGCAGGTTTAACCCTTCCCTCGCTGGGCGGGGCACTCACTGGCTCGACTTTTTTTTATGAAGCAGACGAAGGCCACAAGGAGGAGGACGAGGAGGAGGACGGCGGCTGCCGCGCTCACCCCGGCGATGATGGGGTTGGTCAGATCCGGAGGTGCCGGCGATTCCGATCTGCCTGGGAAACAGCAGCAGCCGTGAGTGCCGGGAGCGTTTGATCTGTTCCCCCCCAGCCCCTCCCACCGCAGGCGGCGTCCAAGGGGCTGGGACACCGCAGGGCGCAGGCAGCAGAAAACTCTATGGGGAGGATGTCGGGGGGCCCCAGGGCATCAAGTGGGGTCAGAGTCTGCAAGATTTGGGGGATTTGTAGCATTAGGGAGGGTGCTGAGCTGCAGGGCAGTGGGCTCAGTAGGGGGCGCTCTCCCCATCAGTCAGGGTTGGCCCCATTGCCCCAGCACGGCGCTAGGGGGCGCTGTCTGATCCAGCCTGGCCATCATTTCTAAGGCATTTCACCCACTTCCTCATGGTCGCACCGGCTCAGGCCAACAGACCCATCTAGCCCGGTATCCCGCCTCCCATGCTGGCTGCTTCTGGCTGCTTCGCAGGGAGCTCCAGCCCCCCCGTCCCCACCTATGGCTACTAATGGAGGGGAAAGCGGGGGAGTCACTGCCCCTCTGAACAGCCTCCGTCCCTCCCGCTGGGCAACCACTGGGGGAAGCTGCCCCACAATCTGTGACTCAATAGATTCCCCCCCGGCCCCAGTACCTGGCCCCGTGCTGCATGGTTGGGTGGTAGCCGGCGCTGCTCCAGGCTCGGTCGGGTCAGTTCTCTCTGCAGGAATAAAACCAGCGTCTGTCAGGGTGGGATGAGAGGCTGAAACACCAACTGATAGATCGCCCCCCACCCTCCATGACCAGTGGTGGATCAGCCACTGGACCTACGGGGCCCGCGCCCAGGTTCCCCAGCCAAGTGGGGGGCCCTGGAGCCCCGGCCACCGGGCGAGCAGGACGGGGGAAGCCCCAGCACCCCAACCCTGGTCCCCACAGAAGCACGGGGGATGGGACAGGGGAAGCCTCCACTGCGGGATGGGAGGAACTCTCGCTACCTGCTGCACCCTGGGGCCGAGGCGGGGGGACAGAGCTTCTCCAGTCTTGGGGTGCAGTTGGGGGGCAGAGAGTAGCAAATTGGGCAGGGACATGGGTGGAAGAGGGGCAGGGCCCCAGGAGGGGGCAGAAAGGGGTGGGGCCATGGGTGGGGCTGCAGGCGGAGGAGGCGGAACAGCAGAGGGACACAGGTGGAAGGGGTGGGGAGGGATCCCCCTTGCTCTGGCCCAGGGCCCCAGGAAACCTTAATCCACCTCTGCCCGTGACTCAGCATCGATCGTTACTGTCAGTCCCGGGGAGGGGGGTTTGTGGCTGGGGATGGTGCCGGCTCGGCAGCCCCTGGGCCCTGACTCCTCTGTGCGTCCCCAGAGCGGGGGCAGCCGGAGGAGCATTCCCTGGGAAAGGCCCCTGCTCTGCAGCTCCCCCTGGGGGCAGGGATCCTCCCTCCCTTGGCCCTGAACCTCCAGGAGCTGCTGCTCCCCCTGGCTGGGGAACCCCGCAGTGACACTGTCCCTACACCCTGTTCAGGTGAGTTCTAGGGCTTTGGGCAGACCCTGGCTCTGAGCGTCCCCCATCAGGGTGACGACCTTCTGAGTGTCCGGCTGGGAGTGGGGAAATGGAGCCGGGCCCCTCACCTGCTACCACCAGCTCCACAGCGCTGCTGGCATATGAGGAGATGAAAGGCTGCAATCGGGGCCGGTAGCTGCAGCTGTAGTTCCCTCCGTGCTGCCGGCCCACGGTGGGGATGCGGAACTCGGCCCCGTCCCCAGCAGGGTCCACATGTCGCTGCGGGTTCAGGTCTCCAGCCTTGTGCAGGAAAAACCTCACGTCCCAGCGCTGCCCCTCACACCGGATGGTGACGTCTGCCCCTGGGACGGTGACCCCAGTGGGGTTCAGAGAGATGGAGGGTCTGGGTAAGCTGGGATCTGTGCATGGGAGAGGGCAGATGACAGAACAAGGTGGAATGAACTCAAGTTTCAGTGCGGGAGGTCTTGTTCGATATTAGGAAAAACTGTTTCACTAGGAGGGTGGAATGGGTTCCCTAGCGATGTGGTGGAATCTCCATCCTTAGAGGTTTTTAAGGCCCGGCTTGACAAAGCCCTGGCTGGGATGATTTAGTTGGGGTTGGTCCTGCTTTGAGCAGGGGGTTGGACCAGAACCTCCTCAGGTCTCTTCCAACCCTAACCTTCTATGATTCCTCAGCCACAGGCAGATCCAGGCAGGGCCCACTCTACCTTTTTTGCTGCCCCAAGCAAAAAA